ATTGCGTGAATTGCAAAATAAGTAAGTGAAAACGATATAACAACTCATACTAAATTCAGATGTCAAAGGATACATACTTTTCAATTCGTGGGGCAACCAAACCGATTTCAAATGCTTCGATATCCGTTGCGCGCTATTTAATATATTTAGTCAATATCAAAATATTGTACTTCAGTGAAATTATACCTGCGATACGAAACCTACGTATCTCGGGTGGATCACAGGTATAGTGAAATTCGATCAAAAGAATTGAAAAAAATACAAACCACGAAAGATGGAGCGCTGCGTGACAATGCATCTTCAAGCATATCACGGAGACCAACCAAAAGTGATGGATCAAATGTCCGCCAAATTTGTAGTAATAAATAGTTTAACCTATTAATATATGTATATATGTTGCAAATCTTAGATACAGTAGATACAGTAAAAACTGTGATCAATAAAATAAATCGTTATTTATAAAGTTTACCATTCTACAGTTTCACCTTCATCTCTTTTCAACTTTAAAACATAAAATAAATTTTAATAAACGAGAAAAGTTCCGATAATTTTTCCAAATAACAAAAGGCATACTTTGTCCATAGAAATTTCACTTTTAGTCTTCCAAATAATGCTCTCGGTATCATTCTCTAACGTATTAATATACCAACCCACACATTGATAAAGCACAAAAATTATCCAAAGAAATGCGAAACCCAAATAACCAAGAACATATGATCCAATAGAAACCAAAATTATCAATGCATTTAGTTCATAAGTAGGTTTTCGAAGAGGATGAACATTATTTCTTTGTAAATTTTTATGCAAATTATCTGCTTTTTGTTCATCAGCACTTATATGTGCATTATTAGTTATTTGCACATCATCGCTCATCTCATCAGGACTTTCCATGATAGGATTATCGCTTTCGAGAAATTCAGGAACTGAGCTCACCAAAGTTTTTTGGGAACTACAAAAAGATTCAGATCGATTTTTTATCATGTCTGGCTCTACGTCGTCGTTAACATGATTTCCATAAGAATTGCTAGTGTTAATTTTGGGACTTATTAATTTGATTCGATTACGATCATGATTTCGCAATGATGATATCTGCGATTTATCTCCATATATGTCAATTTTTTTTATCGGGGGCAATGAACTGCTATCTAACGCTAAGCTAGGGGGTGAATCACGAATCCTAAATTCTGGTAAAGCTATCTCCATAATTTTTTAATTTTTTAGAAATTTGAACTTCTCCACGGTAAGAAAAAATTTTGAAAGCAGTAATAAATACAATATTAGGATGATGTATTAGTGATGCAATCATGCATGATGGAATTCCATCTCTTTTATGTTCTACAAGTGATGTCCATTAAGGCTCGAAAAGGAAACGAAAGCCGATCATAGGCTACGAAAGAACAGCGCCAACTATCAGCTATGCACATTTACTCCGCATTTATGCTGCGAGCGTCATTTATCGGTCTAATTATGTCTTTTTAGCGGCGTTCTTTTGCTCAACATCATACAGTAGTATTATATTCAACAATGCATGTTTAAATTACTATTTTAGAGGTAAATGAGATTTCTGATACTTTTGTTTGCTGATAAAAAACTTCAAAACTATTAGATCTCATGCAATGCTTATTTGTATAATGATATAATAATTTAAATTATATGTTTGTAAAATAATATTTTTAAATTTCGTACGAATTTATCGACGTTGGTTTGCTTCTAGTGGCATAAACTTGCTTTTATGATGATTGTTTGTTATTTCATAATAACTTTTTTTTTTTTTTTTCATCGGTATAACCATGGAATCTGCATTTGTCGTTGCCAATAGTATTTCCGTTTACGCGAGATGCACACAATGAACAATTACTCATCGAATTTATTGAGATTGTTGTAATTCACGCATAGCACGTGACAAACCTTACACGAGTGTGGAGTAAAGATGGTCCCTAATAACCTTAATCAACTCATATACATATGTATGTATTACATAGTTTAACAACCCCAGCGTTATCTGGAACAAATAGAGCTAGATTTACTGCATTTTCCGGGTTATCTAATACGTACGTATTAATGAGGAAAACGATGAGGAAAGCCACAGATGGTAATGCGAGTGGTACGTATCTGTCTAGCGCTGTAAGTGCTGTAAGTGCTGTAAGTGCTTTAAGTGCTGTAATGAGTTAAGGCCATACATACTAATGTGTAGAATTCAAATGTTGAAGAATAAAGATTCTTCCTTAATCGTCGAAATAAAATGGTACTTCTCTGAGGCTCGAGTATCCATACATCGATATTCCGATATTCTCACACCATTATTGGATATTCATACATAATCAATATGCACGGACTATTTCTCTGGGTATGTATACGTATACGCTTCCAAGTATATAATAAAATCGCACTG